TGGGCCGACGGGGGGGGCGATCGCCCCTTCGCCCCCCCCCCCATAAAACCGCGCCTGCCCCTTTTGAGTATGCAACCCGCCCGCACGCCTGCATGCGGTACTGTATAAGCAAAATAAAGGAAGGGGCTTATGGACCACCCTGTATCACTATACTGAAAGAACGAGTGAGTCACCGCGCACATACGATGAGTGCAGCAGCAGCGTGACGCCGTTATCGCGAAGAAGAAAATAATAATAACAAAAATAAATGTGTTTGATTATTTGTGACACGCGGAACGCCGGCGACATCATGGTTTCCAAGCAGCCACGGCCAAGCATCTCGTACTGGGTCTTTCCAAAACTGCGCGGGGAACGCGTACCGGGTAATTCAGAGAACGCGCCGCTGTCGGCGGGTTTGCCTACTCTGTCCGCCCGTAAGGCGCTGTAGCCCCTAGGGTATGCAATGCCGCAGCACGGCGGCGCCTGCTCTGAATCACCCGGTACTCTTGTGGTGCCATGTTTCGCACTTGCGTGTGCATCACTTTCGCCAGTCAGAGAACACGTCTCATACCAGTCATATATCATTTTCCAGTGCCTTCCATTCATTTTCCCTGCCATTTCAGTCACATCTAACAAACTAATGCATTTAGTAGAGCATTGTTGGTTTTAGTTGATAGTAATAATCAACATGCATGCATAAACCTGCAAGACGGTTTTCAGTACATTTCCATGCAAACCTTTAAAAAATTTGAACATAGTTCTGTTAAAATTTGGACATAAGAGCTCATAAACTATTCCTGTTCAAAATTCAGCAAATTTGTGCACATTGCTGAAATGCACACGCACTTGCTTAAATGGATTTGCACACAGTCATTCCCCAATCACATCCAATGATTTTCCAGTCATAACTAATATTTGGGCTTCTAATCAGTGAACTCTGATTTACGTAGTGATGCAACCCTTGCACACATCAGATGCAAGATGTCTTAGTTCTGATTTTGATTAGAAAAGATTAACATGTAACAATATCATGATACTGAGCCAGTCACTATATCCTCTACTGGCACAACCAGGCACTATATCCTCTACTGGCACGTCCCACAGGGATACTCAAAAATCACTATAAGTGATATATACCCAATTCAGCTAGCAAAGTACTGGCATTATTTTGATTCTGACTCTCGGAGTAGGGTTGTTATACTAAAGTTCTCTTACTACCATGCAGTCTATGTATAAGTGTGTCTCAGTGCATTGGGTGTCTGATATGTGCTTGCTAGGCACAACCGATATTTTAGTGAGCACTGAGATCGCACACTTTGATTATCATTGAAGGCAGGCTAATACTTACTTTTTATTGATAATTAATTGACTTTCCTGATTGAGATGAACAGCTGACAATAGTGCTCAGTGTTCAAGAATTGTTAAGACCACAAACACACACAGTGCCTTTAGAAGTAATACATGCAACTTAGTCTACTAACTACTCCAAATACTGGCAGGCATCGATCAGTTACATAACTGTTAATAATTCAATCGACAGTGAGGAGGGCGGAGCTTCGAAATTATACACACATTTCGATCCGTCTGGCGTCTGGTCCGTAACTATCTTCTAGAAATCGTTTTTTCTCTCTTGCTTTAGAGAGAGAGAGAGAGAGAGAGGTGAGGTCAGGGTGAAGTGGGGGGTGGGGGAACTGTACACTTTTCGTGCCCAGAGAATGCTGTGCGGCAAACTTGAAGGGACAAAAAGTTTGATGTTCTTGTCAATGCTATTCAAATAATTGAAGATGAAGCGGTAGATTAAAAAAAAAAACACTGAATTATAGTTGTCCATAGTTGTTTTCATTATAAAAGTTGTTTGTTTTTAACAATATTTTTCTTTTTAGTTCAGTGTACTTTGGCACTCCCGAAAATTTGAAAAGGGTGTTTGTTGTTAAACAAACCCGGCAAGCAAGTAATTCTTTTCAATCAAAAATGTGTGCTCAAACGTCTTGGTGGGTTTTAGACTTCAGAGTACCACTGTTCTTCGTATGCTGCGTCGTGACTTTTATTACGAGTCACGATGTACCGTTGCGGCCTAGGGAAATGGTGTCCCTTTTGGAGGAGGGCAAGAGGCAGTATAACCTTGTTCAGGCCAAGACTTCTATGCCAACATTTGGCAGCTGCTGGAAGACTGCGATCGCACGAATGCACGGTGGATGCCAACATCTCGATGACCGAATCCAAAGTGAAGTCGCTCTTAGCTTTGCCAATTGCTTTTTGGAAGGGGCAGGCCTCCCAAGGCATGACTGTGATGGAAGCGACAAGTCTCTTACTGTCAAATTGGAAGATTGTCTTAAAACTATGCCTGACAAGACATTTATTGCATACACAGAGTTCTTTACTCATACTCAAAGTATGTGTTTTTTTGTCATGAGTCAGGTTTGGCATGAAGAAACGGAGAAGACCATTGACAAGTATGTTACTGTCATGTCAACTGATAGCTTGTTTGGATAAATTTGTACAAAGCTAGTTTTTTCACTTATAATGGCATACTAGATTTTGATTCTTATTTCTTGCTTTGTTAGACTTTCCACCAGTGCTGCGGATGTCGCTAAGCAGTTGGAGGCTTCAGAAGAGCTTCAAGAAGAGCTCTTGTTGCATCAACGGAAAAGTGTTGTTATTCAGCAGGAATTGCTCGAAAATGGTGTTTCTCTTGGCAGTATGTTGCATGAATCAAGGGATAACCTCAACGTCATATTTACTGAATTCAGGTAAGTGTCATTTCGTCGTTTTCACCTAGTGCACATCTAGTAGTGTTGAATTTATGAGTTTTATACGTTTGAACTCTCATTTCACAGAGCTTCCACCTTGGAGCAGCAAAGACTTCTCAGTATGGTATTCCACCATCTATCAGCACTGCAATCATGGATTGTTGGAGAAGTCTCGTGGGTGGATTCAATTGCATTCTATATTCCAAGCTTTGCATTTGTATACTTTTTATCATCAGCACAGCGTACTACAAATGCCCGAATACCTGGTCTATTGGTCCTTCTCTTTGCTGGACTTTTGGAGCGTTTTATCTCCTATATTCTATTGAGTGATGGAGCTGATGGAGCATCTTTCCAACCTGTTGACATAATAAATGTATGTTTCAACTGTAAAGAATTATGACTTACATGCACTGTATGCTTTCGAGGGTCGTTTTACCTTTTCAATCATGTTGGCTTGCCAGGAACGCCTGAGATGGTGGGTGTGGCTGGTTCGTCGCTGTGCAATTGCAGCCAATGTTGTTGTCCTTTCCATCACTCTCTACCGTTATCAAGACCGTGAGGAAGTTATGCATCAACTTCTTGAACAAATAAAAAGGCAGAATGAAGAACTTTTAAACCACATTCATGGTAGAGGTTGGTCATATTTTTGTTCATTTTTTCTTTCTTTTAAGAATTTTCTTTCTTGGTACAATTGGTCTCAAATGAACAAAATTATGCCAAAGTTTGTTGTTTAACATTTTGGAAATAGATAGCAACCAAAATTAATTAAGCCACTATTCTTCTTTTTGTGTTAAAAATTACTTCTATTTCAGTTAATGGACTAAAAAAAACAAAGAGTCTCGATGAAGCAGACGGATTTGGATACATGCCAGTCCTTACCAGCTCATCATCTTCCTTATCTGGACCAGTTTCTACGCCAAGCTCTAGAAATTCCCCTGGGATTTCTCATATCAAGCCTGTAGCAAGGACTGTGCCTACAACTAATGGAGCAATGTCACCCGTAAGAAGGGTTAATATTGGGATTCCAACAGCTCACTCTGCTTTTATACCAATCAGAGAGAATTCTCCTATCAATGAGTCAGTAACTTCTTCAATTATTGATACGACCATTGAGGAAAATGATTCAATTGGTGTTTTCTCTGATATTAATGCCTCTACTCCAAGAAACAAAAGAAATAATAAAAAAAAAGATTTATCTGAAAATTCAGTGAGTAGTATTTCTTAGCTAATTTTGTAGTCATACATATCTTTTAAAATGATCTGACTTTCAGATTCTTTTGCAGAGCCCTGTAAGCACACGCTACAATCTACGTAGGAGTGGCCGAATCTCTGCAGCTTCTCCTGTGTGAGGAGGTTTTAGCTAGGGGAAAGTGGAAGATCCCCCTGGTGCTTTCAGTGAGTAGAATGGTAAAGAATAATTTCTTGTGTTTTATTTGAGCGCTTTTCATTCACCATGAATGAACCTGGGGTATATTTCCATCTCATGATCCTACAAACTCATTCCTGATTAAGTATTGTGTGGTATTGTAATGTACTTTCTTTGTGAACCTCTGTAGACTTTAAACCTCATTGGTTCTGTTTCACCTCTATCTCCTCATCCATGCTTGAATCCCGCAGAAAGCGAGCTACGGGAGCTAAATGCCAACTCCCCACGCCTCCTCTCAGTTGTCAAAGAAGTGGTCTAGCTCCTGTAGCTCACTTGTTGTGGGGCTCCAATTTATTCTTTTTATTTCCATTTTACTTTATTTGGCCATATTTCCAACTTAAATTCAGATTTGCTAGTTAAGATTTATTTTGTAAAGTTATTTTTAATGATAATATTTTTATAATTTTGATTTTAACAACTAACTCCATTGAAGAGACTGATTTTATAATAAATTTTTAATGAAATTCCCATAAATTATGAAAAGGGGTCTCTTAGGCATATGTGGTTTTTAAATATGCTATGTCAACCCTTTAGCATAAATTGTGGGAATTCCTAATGTAATTTAAATTTTGATTGTGAATCTAATTTCAAATTAAGATTTCATGTTTTAAGTACTTAAAATATGCATTGCTTGGCATACATGTATGGACTTAGTGAGAGACGTACAAATAAGCATCTAGTCGATTGTATTGTTAACTGCACATCTCTATATTCTATATTCTCATTATTCATGCTTTCATAACTTTTTCTCTTCACCTCCACTTGCTTTATGGGGGCGGTGAAGGAGGGTGTAACAATCTGTTTTTAAGTTATGGACATTATTAGAATGGGGTTGGACAGATGCATGTAGTTAATAAGCCCTGGTAGTTACCTAAGTTTTGCAAAATAATTTTTTTATTTTAAAATTAAACTTTCAGTGCCTTGTCTTCGGTTCCTCAGTCTTATTGCCTGTAGTACGTCTTATATTTTATGTCCTTTCCTTGTTTGTCTGGGATCCCTAAGGGTGTACAATACATGTACTCGTATTCTGAAAAAAATAATTCAGAAACTGCATGAGATCATATACGAGGTAAATTTGGGACATTTGGACACAATGTTAATAAAATGTATTGTTGTGGAGGCAATAATGTATGACTTTAAACATTAACAAGAGTAATAATTACATCACGTTCAGGCAAACGTTAGTAAATGCTTTATGCAATAAAGACTCGAAATGCATCATTCTTTGAAATTGTGTCCGAATGTGTCTTTTTGTCTCATACTGTCAACCCACATATTGCATCCAATATCTTAAAATTATTGTCAAAACACAATCGCACTTACACTTTTTGGGCCAGTTTCCTACCTCTCACATAATCCATCCTACACACTAAATTGTTAGTGTAGTCTGCATCATACGCAGCTTACAGAAAATTGTGCATCTTGCTTATTTTTTTAATACATAATTATGAAC